GGGGGGGAGTCCCTAGGGAGCTTTCTTCTTTCCTCTGCCTGGTGAGGACACAGTGAGAAGACTGCTGTCTGCCCTCACCAAACACTGAATCTGTTGGCACCGGGAGCTTGGACTTTCTAGCTTCCATACATGTTTGTTGGTTAAGCCACCCCAACCTATGATACTTTGTCACAGCAGCCTGACCTAAGACAAATGGACATAAAATAAGCCATCCATAAATGTTAGGTAGTGTGTCATTTAGCCTTAGCTCTCTTATAAACCTAGTGGCCTAAATAAAAGTAACTGTTTTTTTATTTAGCTCACAATTCTTCGGGTGAGAGATTTAGAGTGGGCTGTGCCGAGACCAGCCAGGCAATTCTTACAGCTGGACTTTCTTATGCACCTGCAATCATCTGTGGATCAGCTATGTCATGATGCGTGTGGGACCTTTAGTGAGACATTTATTTGCCATTAACACCTGAAAATCCTCACATCTAGTTTCAGAAATATGAGAAAAATCATATGTCACTCTTACACAAAGACATGTCTACGTGGAAGATAACTATTCCAACCTATTACTGATCTTCTTATACCAGTTTTCATGAAATTCACGCCGACCGACCCATCAGCATCCCCCAGGGAGTTGTTAGACATGTGAATTCTCAGACCTACTGTTCTGCTGGGAGTTCAGCAACCTGTTTCAATAAGCACTTCCTGTCATTCATGGAGAACCCCTGACCCCAGTGAGTGGAAAATCAGGAATGCATGCAAAATGGTAGCAAACCCCCTAAATAAATTAGGATCAAGTTTTCAATATGCTATATAAGCATTCTAATCTGCCAACAAACTCCATGATTACCAATTATCTAAAATTCTCTGTTTTCTATAGGAAAACGGACACTCTATTAGTGGCAGTCATCTGAAAATAGGAAAAAATAAAAACTAACTCTATTCAAAACCTCAGAGATGACCTGCTGCTGTCCATCGCGTGAGTAGGCTGGAACTTTCCAGGGAGGATGGCAGAATCCTATCACCATTTTTAGAGTCCAGGTGATTAAAAATTATGAGATGTAGTTATTTCTGTTTGTCTCTAATTGCTTTATTCCCTTTGCCAGCTGCATTTTTTTCCCTTCATTGTATAATGTCTGGATAAATTATGCTCCCGAGGCTGTTCATTTTTAAGATATTCATATTTAATTCTGTTTAATGCTAATTAAATTAAGTCTCCAAGTCTGTTCCTTGTAGCCTCATGCATACCTGAAGCAATAGCATTAAATTTATTTGTTATCATGCAAAATATAATATCTTAGCATAAAGAACAAGAAAATACCACAATTAAAAAAGCATTTTTAGAGTGATCACTTTCAACTGAATAGTATGTTGTCAAATGAAGTATCTTTTTTAATGGAAAGGGGAAGTTTTTCATCACTCAAAATAAGGCCAGGCATAGTGGCTCACACTTGTAATCCAATCACTCTGGGAGGCTGAAGAGGGAGGATTCCTTGAGCTTAGGAGGAGTGAGACCCTGTCCCTACTAAAAATAGAAAAATTAGCCAG